GACGCTGGGAACGCTAGATCGATATGCATCCTCTCCCCGGCACTGCCGCTGGCGTACGCTGGAAGCGCTACGCTACGCTGCCGCAAAGTATAAACGCAGCCTAAGAAAGGAGTATACTCGTGTTGAGGCAGAACACCCAGTGAAAAAATTCTAGCCACGTCGACCCCCGGAGGCAAAATCCTGTGAATTATGGTACATTTTTTGGAGAGCTGTGCCGACGAGGGTTCATAGTACCGGAGCGTTTTTCAGCGCAGTTCTGACAAACCAACCTTGACGTTGAAAAATTCAGCTATCGTTCGATTACTGTCACACGGCAGTTTTTCGTATTCGGAACGACATCTCGGTGTATTCCATCTGAATAAGCTACAATATGGTGCGAGAGTGAGAGAATTCAACTTTCAGAGATCTCTTCCTTTAGTGCTAGGCATTTAGCTTCATACGCCCATGGAACCCAGTGCTGGATTTGAATGGGTATCTGGGATGATCGAGCTAGAGACCGCGCTGGTAGTGCGAACGGAGCCAGGTTTATAGTCACCATTCCACCTTTGTTCTTTTTCACACTCTTGGAGAGAGTGGCGCACAGTGACGAAGAAACAATGATGTGCCCGACCCCGCCCAAACGATCAGTGCAGACTGTTCAGCATGCATAACTTACTTCTCTGCCTGATGCTCAGCCCAGCGCTTCTCTTACAAAAGCGAACTTTAGGAAAATTCAGGACCCAGTGTTGCTTTGGTCCAGGCCCTATCATAAAAAACATGCGGTCCAAAAAGCGTTCTAGCGCCACCTTCGTCCGAGCAAGTCTCGCCTCAAATTACACAGACGCGACTGTCATTTAGAAAAATGAGTCTCCAAAGGGCTATTCTCCCCTGCACCTACAGATCCCTGACGGTCTTGTGGACCTTTAAACTCATAAATGACCTATCAGCGTTTTCTACAGACCTCAAGTTGCACTTCAGCGCTCTGTCAATCAAGCATGAAGTCGGAACACTTGCCAGTTACTCCGCGTACGACTGCATCTGGCCAGCTGTCAAGGAAGATCGTGTGAATAGCAGCTTTTACATTCCAAAAAGGAAACGTATACTCAAAGATACAAGTTTTGTTTTCTGCAGATGCTAGGGCGTTTTACAGGCCTGTGTATGGCGTGGTCATTTGCCAGCTTCTACAGTTGGTGGAGAGCGGTTGGCACCGCACCGAACCCAGCCCCTGAATAGCCTAGTATCCGCAGCAAACAAGACTGTAGCTGAGCCGGATTACTCTGCGCACAATTATGGAACAACAGTCTCACTCCTTGCAAACACTCTCAACTGATACGACAAGGGGCATCCCGAAAAGCCTGCACTATTCCTCGCTTGCTGAACACGTAAACGATTCTTTCGCCCCGGTTTCATGTTTCCTTCGACTAGAAAAGTTCCTTCGAGAACTTATTTCTGGATGTAAACGAAATCGTACTCGTTGTTGCAACTCCTCCACGGCACGTTCACATCGAGGCGGATCGAGTTCCAGAGATAGCAAAGTGCCCAACTGAGCACGACGATATAGTAGATATTCAACCAGAACGCCATCACTGCAGCAGCGATTCCGACTCCTCAAAAGATTAAGTAATGCGTTAAGTAAAAATCACAAAAAGATCCTACCAAATGTTTCATTGACATAACTCGTTTTGCAAATCTAAGCTTTACTATTAGGGTGTCCAAAATGTTTTTCTTTTTAGCCAAAGTTTATTTGCTCATTTGTTGACAACAGCCACTCAAAAGAAGGTAATACGATCCCCATAGTGATCCTCTATGTACGTCCATCTGTCTTCCAAAGTGTGAGCATTACCGGAATTCGTTGGGCAACGAACTCTGTCCCCCAGCAAATCCATCATGTCAACACGACTCTGGAATCCACTTGTCCGTGTCAGTGATGCTTGCTCAGATTGTTGCTCAGATTTGGAGATATGGAAGGCGTATGGGATCAGCTGGGAGAGTGCGCAGGGTGGAGTGGAACATCGTTTCCCTCTGGATTATCTCTGGTACATCCAAAAATGATGGTACCGCTTTGTCAACGAGGACGACCATTTTGGTATGTTTGGAGCACACCTTCTGGGGTGCTTATGAGCTCTTTTAGCTCGCTGATACAAGTCGACCAGATCGCAGCAGAACATCCCTCATGGTTGCTCCCTCCACGTGTTTAATTTAGGGCCGCCCAGTTTACGACACGCGTCAGCTTCCTCCGGTCCAAAACAGTTTTCCAGAGTGACTCGATCAAGCGCAGACAGCCACACATTTCTTCTGATAGTGAGCGCTCCGCGGCGTGGTAGCAGCACCGTGCAAATTACTATTCGCTGCTTA